TCAGAAGCCTCTGCTAGGCAGAGGTTTCTAACTCGGGGCAGGGGGGTGGGGGTGGGGATGGAGGGGCCCCGCAGGCTGGATAGAATGGTCTGGTGGGCCAGATCTGGCCTGTGGGCCAAATTGTGCCCTCCCCTGCCCAACTGCATATTTGGCAGGCCTTGTGGTAGGATATTTGGGGGGCTACAGAATGAAGCCATTCCACTTGCTCTATGCCATCCAAGGAACTCTTTATACTGTAATGGGATCGAGTCCTACTATACACAGGGCCCTTTTACATAACCAGAAGCATCTTAAAAGGGGCATGGCTCAGCCTGGAATCACAACTCTAGGAGCTTAATGATCATGAAGGAGTAATGGCTAAGATTTAGATCACACCTGAAAAATAGCAGCTCAGTTGTTCATGCTTTGGATCAGTAGTGTCTCAGGCAAAATCACCTAATGAATAACCAACACAACCATTTGTGATACACAGGCATGCCTTCGACTTTTCCATTTCCAAGCAATGATCCACTCCAACCCTGCTTCACTTTCACTAGCAAGTAGACGCTATAGCTGCAGGCTACTTACTGATATTTAATCTTTAATTATTTTTTTTATTTTATTGCTGCCTATAAATACTCGTGCCTTTCACTAGTCTTTCTGCTTCTAGGACCTCTGCCTTTAATTGTTCACATTGCACTGAGCATAAGTTTCCCCTTCCCCCCAAACAAAAGAAGAAAGAAAGAAACAAAAACCAACCACTAGCCATGAAGAGAGAGATACATCACATCACGGCAGGATTCCCTTCTCATACAGAGCCTTTTACAGTTAATAATTACACGGCAACTTTGTCTGCTTAAGGTCAAATCCCTTCCCCCACTGAAGTCTGCCACTTCGACATTCAACAGTCTTGACTGGTACATTAAGGGCCCAGAGTCCGCCACATAGAGCTTCCTACAGTTACATTATTTGACTCAGCTAGAGGTGCTTGAATAAATCATGACTCTTGAAACCAGCAGCATCTCACTCACCCACACATACACAAACTCTAGCCCTGCAGCCAACTGAAACATTTTGATGTATATTAAGAACCAATAATATCCTAAGCAGAGCTTTTGGAAGATGTTGCAGCCACAAGAGGGATCACAACCTGTTCCTAAGCTATCCATTGTCACAGGACTGGGGCCTTACACTTTTAAACATAACCAGTGAATTCAGGGTCTCCATTTTTGAATGTCTAACTGGAGACACCTTAAAAGGATCTGACTTTGTGGCAGAAAGTACTAGGTCCTTTCTAAAAATAATGTGTTTGAAATTTAGCATCTAAAAGCAGACATCAAATACAACAAGCTGTTTCAAAACTTAGGCTAAGATCTTTTTGTTGCCCCTGTTCTTGATTTAATTGTATTCTTCTTGATATCACTGTCAACATCTCATTTTTAAAATATGAAGAAAGCACTTTGAGACAGTAGCTCACAAAGCTGAAACTTCACACTTCATGTGCTTTTATTTCAAACTCTTGATGAAATCAAACCCAGTCTGCTTTGTTAGAGGGTTTTGTATCAGGAGCACGGTGGGAAAAAAAATAAAGATAATCCAGTAATCAGGCCAAATTTTCTCACTTACATAGCCCTTAAAAAAAAAAGATTGATACTGTCATGTTAGTGGTAACTGTAAGCAAGTTGGTTCGGTACATTTGAGCAAAGGCCTTACCAAACCATCTTTAATGGTTCTGGAATATTTACCAAGGTCTTCTGAGTCTGTATTCACTGTACTGTTCACAAAACCACATAATCATTAGCAAGTTATTGTTTCTCTTTCCTCCCTGTCATACCTCTGAGGCAAGCCAGGAAAGAATTGTGAATACATCTCTAAACCAATGATTTCATACTATGCCTTCTAAACTAGACTTTTTACTGACCAGGTTTTTTCCCCAATTAAATATGACTTTTACAATTGCATATGCTTATTTTATTGTTATATCAAAAAATAATAATTACTTAGAGAATAAATAGAGTGAATTTAAAAAATCCCTGAAGTCTGTAGTGGTGGAAGTTGTATTTTAGAGATGCTCCCTTACCAGGAAGACTACATGGGTTGGGATTTGGCAGATAGTCCCTCAAGTCTGTTAAAGATACTGAAGAAGCCTGCTTACTGCTCCACAAATAAAACTTGTTTTTTATCTCTCAGTCAGGTATGCCTTGGTTATTGAACCCAGTGATCACTACAAAGTCCAGATCAAAACTCATCTGTAATAAACATCACTTGACTGAGAATGAACTATAGTCATGTTCTCCTCAAGGCACTGAATTTAATAAATATTTTCTCTGTGTTGTCTAAGCTAGAGATATTTGTATTATCCACAGAAAGAATTTTGTATCCAATTGTGGTTACATCTAACAACTCAGTGAGAGATGCAGTGGTCTCTTGAGACTTTTCACAGAAATAGACAATAAAATCTGTTCTCACAAATATAGTAAAGTTTTAAGCAGGCATTAAACTATTCTGGCTTTCAGACTTTGCCTGCTACTCATAAACATGCTGAGCTCTCCAGCAGAATACCATCAGGTCTACATACAAGAGTCAGAAATCGGGGAAGTTCTTTTTTTAAGAGACATGTTTATAAGTATTTTTATTCCAATAAAGTAATGACATATTGAGCATACATATAACAAAAGAGACCCTGACCAGAAGAGTTCACAGTCTAAGTACCCAAGACAGACTGAAGTAGGAATAAGGAAGTATCATTATCTCCGTTTTTACAGATGATACCAAGAGATTAGAGCAACTTGCCCAAGGTCATACACAGACGGAAGTGGGAGTGAAACTCGGATTTCCTGAGTCACACTCTAGTGCCTTAACCACAAGATTAACCTCCTGTTGGACATGCTCACATAAGCGTTTGAGGTTGTAAGACTCAGACATACACGATGTATGTTGGTAAATTCAGTTAATTGTACATTTGGTATACATTTACAATAAAGAAATATTTTAATACATGATACTCTTTTCTTCAATTCTGCAATGAGTGTATATTCAAGCAGGGTCAATACAGGAATGGATATTTAAATAAGTCTGTGTTAATAGATGCTGTTATCTTTTCATCTCTCTTGTTTTAAGAGCCTTTAGGAAACCTGGATGTCTCTCCGCCTGCTCCCTTCCTCCCCTCCCCTCCCCCCCCCACACCCCCTCCCAATCCATTTTACCCTTTTTTTCCCTACTTGACAAATATTGATTTATTTCCTCTCTGGTTAAATGCATTGGATACCATCATGACTGTTTTGTTTGCTTTTTTGTTTGTATGCTAGCTTTATTGATGATGTCAGCATGAATGCATGCAGCTTTGGGAATAGAGGATTGGTTAATTAACTGCTTTTGCAAAGCCAACAGAGAGAGCACAAGAGCACAATCCTGTGTTTTGTATAGGTCACACAGGAATAGTGACTCTAAGCTAGTTGCTAGCATCTCAGACACACACCAGTGAGTTGAAAAATAAAACAATAGATGTTAAGAATCCAGTGCATGCTAAGCTGTTTTAAGCAAGGGTTAAATCAGTTTGCATCTACAAAAAGGTTTACAATGGTACACAATGATCAACTTCAAACTGATTTAGTTAAACTTGTATCTCTTGTCTAGTATAGACAAGGCTTGAGTTTAAATTGTGTTTGTTTTACAACCTAGCTTGGAACACTTGTTACACATGGGTGAATCCTAATCTAGTAGTGTCATATGATATATATATATATACATATATATATATATATATATATATATGTAAGTGTTCAGGAGACTGAAAACCCAAAGGGGCATGGCTTGCAAAGAGAAAGTAGGATGGGGGTCAGAACTGCTTAATCTCTAGAACCAACCCAGTACAACAGCTGAAGTAAGCTTTTCTTAGTATATTTGAACAGTCACAGAACTCCCACTGGTATATTCTTAACAAATGATTAACTTTATGTATTTTTATAATTATTCATAAAAAGGGATCCCTATGGGAGACCCATCTAACTAGATCAGAGGGCCTCTAAATTCTCATAAACAGCTCTCTCATGACTCTTCAGCAGAGCTTTGTATCCAGTCTGGTCAATTAAGAACCCTACTTTCAAAAATATATCACTTTCTTATTATTCTTAGGCTCCTCTAGGCAACAGCAAGGCAACAATTTTTGTGAACACAGTTTAGTGCCTGAGATAATTAACCCATTAGTTAGAGGATCAACTCTATGCAAGGCAGAAAACCAAAAGAATGAACTACTAGTAATTGCATCAGCAACCTTACTAAGCTCTTTGTTCAAATACAGTAACTTGGTTGCCTCAGACAGGGATGGTGAAATGAATGTTATAGAGCACTGGGATACACGAAACCTCTTGAAGTACCCATTACCACCAAGCAGGTCACAATTCATAGGTAAGCATTGAAAGTGATTTAATTTTAGGTTCCATTTGCACTAGAACCTGGTAAGTCCCATAAACACTAAAAGGGGAATTTACTAGGGCTGAAATAAAAGGAAAGAATGAAGATACGCTTAGTACAGCAGAATAGGCAGCTACAGTTCCAGACAAAACCCAGCAGTTCCCAGCTTGGCATCTGAGGGCAATTCCAGAAAAGCTTAGGACTCCTCAGGACCAGTACCAGGACTTTGCAGCTCAACTCCCATTAAAGGCACCTAATTAACATGCAGGTTTCCTGACCAGGATCTGCTTGTATTTCACTGAGGACACTTATACTTATGCCCTCCTGCTTTTTGTAGCACTGTTCACCATGCACCTGCTGCTAGGAAGCTGCTCCAACGATGAGGGACAATTAGCACACAACCATCCAGCAGCCACAGAGTCCCCTGTTGTACACAGCTATGCCCTGCAACAGAAACCTTTCATTTGGGGCCAGCTTCCAACATAGGCACAATGACCATCAAAGCTAATCGCTTTTCAAAGGAACTTTGACTTCTCAAGCCTTTGTCCAGCCACCATCTACTAAGGCTTTTCTCCCACAGGGACACTCTTCACAAGGTTTTCACCAACCTGCATCTGACAGCAACATCTGCTTGTCACAGTCTAAACCTCTCCAACTCCTGCTGCATCCAACTCAGCCTCCTGTTCGTTTCACCTCACTTCTGCAACCACCTGCCTCTGCCTTCCACAGAGTGCTCATCATCTCCTCCTCCTGGCCAAGTAAGACCCTCCAACTGTGAAGTTCATGAGAAAAAAGGAAAGTACAGCAGACAGTTTAGATCCATGTCTAGAGCCTAACTATAGGAGTTGTGTGATTACATCAAAATCAAAGCTTTAATTAAAAAAAAGGCTCTAGGTCCCATTGGTACATCCAAAAGCTTGAAAATATGACTATTACTTTAACTATGTAGTCAGATCAGCCAGGACCTGCAAAAGGGCCTGGGGCATTAGCTCTGAACATGTGGACTGACTAGTTAATATAAGTGGGGTGTCAACTTAATGACCCATTGCACAAGAGGGGACACAAACATGAACCTAGGAGAGGACTTTGGCAGAATTAGATGAGAGTGAGCATATATGCTAAGGTGGCATATACAAGGCCCACCAACTGAAAGTCTTGAGAAGACACACTGCTGCTTCTACGTGTCCGGGATGGGGATCCTTAACACTACTACTGCAAATAAGGTGTTGGGCCATTAAATGAGGTCAGAGCTACAGGAGGGCTATGGTGGTGATGGGTCTATGATCTTGCTTTCACTGGCCCTCTTCTTCCTGGGCTGCTTTCATTTATTCTCTAGGTGCCTCACATGATTGAAACCCCAACTCTACATGTTCAGTGGACTGCTGAATTACTACAAAGGGTGTGAAAGTTTGATGCACGTCAAATATCAAAAAAGCGCTAGCTATGGTGGGAGATTAGTGTAGACAAGACACAGGAGATAGTGCTGCGTCTAATAAAATCAGCTTCCACTGGCACTCCTACCACTGGGAGATTCTAAGGAAACAGGCTAATAAAGGAAAGACCAGAGAGGAGCCTCTATAAGGTCTTTTCCTGGTAAAGACAAGGCAATCTGCCCTACTACCTAATGTGTTACAATCCTTCCATAGAGAAGGCAAGCTGTAGTCTTAACACAGGTGAACTGGTTAAAATAAATCTTAAATTCCTTGCTGGGTGAATCATCATCAAAAAGAAGGTTTGCAACATGGCAGTGCCTAATGCTATTAATTAGCCAACAACTCTAATTTCACTAGTTCAGTTCTGAAATAATTTTGCCATGAGTGAAGAAAAGAGTGACACAGAATGTGGTGGACACAGGAGGATTATATTCATAGCATCATGTCACAGCACTCCACTTTTTCATGTTGAATTTGTATCACCAATGTTTCTCTAGTTGCAACACCTGATGCCAAAATCCTAGGGTAGCTTTAGGGTTTATGTTAAACCCAAATGACACCAGGAGGCTGAATATTTGAGACCCCTAATGAATGAAAATAAACTTCTGTCCCTCAGTATTGGCCAGCTCAACAGACCTGTCCTGACAGATGACAAGTACACCTGATAACATGGAAAATTTCTCATTTCTAAGATGAGTTGACACAAGAATTGCAAAAACTAATCGTTGTGTTAAGGTCTAGTCCTATTAGTGCTGATGACTGGGCATCTAACATTGGGGCAGCATGCTTCATACATCCACCTACCCTGTTATGAACTCTATTTCAACCATGGCCAGAAATTTCAATGAGTAAAGAGAGTGTATAACATGGTTTAGATAGTACATACTAGAAAATGCATAAGCAGCTATGCTATCTAGTACAATCTCTACTTTCAACATCCCAGCAGCAGGAACTGATTTTTTTTTCATTAGTATGATGTGGCGAACTGACTAAACCTATAATAGTAAACTCTTATAATGTGCTCTTCTCCCAGTTCCAACTAGGCTTCATTACAATGAGATTGATCATATGCACACATTTATACTGTTTGGAGAAAACAGACTAGTAAAAACTGTGTTGGAAAATGTTGTCAAACATTATTCTGGAACATAGTAATTGTAGTCACACTACTCTAAGACCCTTCCCTACCACCTATAGCCCCCACCTATGCAGTTGTGTCCAAGCCTTTCCATCTGCTTCAGAGTATGCCTAGTCAGCAGTATCTTCTGAGTGCATGTCATTGACCATCTGTATATAGGCCTATATAAACACAAACAGCTGGGAAGGTCTTCAGGTCCCTGTCCCTTCTCCTACTCCCACTCTTACTGGAGTTTTCCTGCTGCCATGGTGGTGTTAAGACTATTTTGCCTGCTCTCAGCCCATAACCTAACCTTCGTAGCATACTAGTTTGGAGAAGGGGACAGAGGAGGGAGGGACAAAGGAGAGATGGACAAAGGAGAGAGATTTGGATAGGATGAGTAAGTGAGCCATGTTAGGACAGTGGAAAAATACTGAGGAAAATTATACTGCATAATTGCAACCCATTTAAAGGATGATGCTTACTGATAACCACCTACTTACCGATATTTAGGTATCAAAATATAACACTAAAATATGTACATAGATACTCAACCTGTAAGTAGCTGCATAAAGCCATAGGCAAGTGCAGCAAGGTCAGGATCTGTAATGCTTTACATCATTTCCTGGTACTGTTATTTACATTCCTTCCCCTGCAGGTTCCCAAATAGCTGTTCCTTCTTGCCATTCTGCCCAGAGACAAACATTTAGAGTGGCCTCTACTGCGTGCAATATCTTTTATTTGGTTTAGGCTCAGCTACTAACTAACATACAAATTGCTGCTGGACTGTACACATACCTGATCAGCAATTTGTAAATGGTCTTTAAAATGCTGCCAAGGCAGGATTCCCAGCTTGGGAAAATACTTGGGAATAAAATAGCCAAAATGGAGAAATATGGATGGAGCACCAGCAAGGGAGAGGTGGCAATCTCCCAAGAGCTGTGCCTCGGGTTCAAGTGATAATGGACTGTTACAGCACTGAGAGGGTCCTGGCTACTCCACACTGCTTTGATTCCCCAGGAAGAGGAAATCGGGAGCAGGTGAGACCTTAAAGCCAAGGGCGGGGGCTGCCCCGGGGTCACTGCTGAATGGTTTCCTACTGCGGGCTCTAGCGCTGCGGGTCGGGCTTTGCCTGGGAAGGGCTGAGCAGGGGCCGGAGCCCAGGCGCGGTGGTCCAGGCCTGAGCTCCGGCCCCTCCTGACCCCGGGCGGGTGAAGGACGAGCGCTCCCTGCCCCGCGCCGCTCGCGGCTCCCCGGGAGCGCGGGGCAGCTATCGCCGCCGGGCGACTCGGGCCCCGGCGCCCTGCGAGCCGCACAGCGGGGTCTCGCTTTCTGACGTGCAACCAAGGGTCTTTGCTAGCGGCTGCGACCCCGGCGCGGGCGGCCGGCAACCAAACCCCCTCGCGTCCCTCCGGCCGCGGAGGCGAGGCCCGGGCAGGGGCAGGGGCAGAGCGCTCCCGGCTGGCC